ATAAATAAATAAATAAATAAATAAAATAAAATAAAATAAAAAAACAAACAAACAAACAAACAGGAGACAGATATCCCAAAATTTGTACTCCTACAAAAGAGTGAAGGATAACTGATTGACATAAAAATGCCCTGAATGGAGACAAAGAAAACGACCAAGAGGGAGACTAGAAAGAAGGTAGCAAGATTACATCTGAGAGCCCGCGGGAACAGTTTGGATACACAGAAAAGCAGATAGAACAGAGTGGATATCATTTTAGGTGGGTTGCATCCTGATGGAAGGGACCACTCCTACGAAAAAAAAAAGGCTGCTAAGTAATTATCAATCACACCCACACCGAGGAGGAACAAAATGACTCATGCGAAGACTCCGTGGTGAAGATTCGTGTAACAGGTTTCTTGAAACATTTTTCGGCATAAAAAAAGAAGAAAAAAACCCACAACAACCCCAACGACAAAAAAGTCAGCTCTCAGTAGCTTTTGAACTATTATAGTGTACACTGACTCCTTATTTTTGATTAAGGACCATCAGTTCGACATCGACCATGGTTTTAAAACTTTCATCAACTGCCGTGGCCGCGAATTGCCCATAAGTTGCAGAGATATACCCACAGGCGCGCTCACATACAAGAACACCTTGCTTTTCTTTAATAGAGAAGGAAAAATAAATGTTTGTGAATGACCATTGTACTCTGGAAAACGGGAGATAATTGATCCTTGACCACCGCCGGCGTCCTGTCCGGGAATTATTTTTGTGTCCATGTTTCTTTGAACGTCATGAACAGCCTGATGGGCTCCAATTTTACGGGTCTTGTTGTAGGCTAGAGCTGGGCGAAGAGTCGATTCTGGAACCGATTCCAATGATTATTACTACGGATGTAAAGTTCCTTCTCCTTTATACGTAAACCAACGGTTTTATCCCCCCAAAAAATTCGTTTTTTTAAAGAATCTATTTTTGAAAAATAAAAGTTGATGCTTCGTAGTGTTCCGAAATCAAAGTTATCCTAAATCCTGAAGATGCTCGGCACCAACCTGGTAACCACAGGGAAAAAAATCGCATAATTAGAATGTAAGTAATTGGGTTCGGAGTCGATTCCTACGATTCCTAGCTTTCAATAATCGGGAACCTAGCTGCCCAGCACTATTGTAGGCCCATATCTTTGACTGGAACATAATTTTAGTAAAGCGTTACATTTATGAGAAAGATAAATCAACACGCACACTAATTTCACCAAGCGGGTGGCCGGAGGGCGCTATTCGTAGGTCTTTCTTCTTTTCTTTCCCTCTGTCCGTCCGTCCGTCCGTCCGTCGGTCCGTCCGTCCGTCCGTCCGTCCGTCCATCCGTCTGTCTGTCTGTCTGTCTGTCTGTCTGTCTGTCTGTCTGTCTGTCTGTCTGTCAGTCTGTCTGCCTGTCTGCCTGTCTGTCTGTCTGTTCCCCAGCACTTACTTACTACCCGTTACGCCATCTGGCGTTTAGGGCAGTAACAAAGGATCTCCAGCTCTGTCTGTTTTGGGCCATCTTGGTCAACGTCCCCCTCGAATGATTCCAGGACTCCATTTCAGACTCTACTGTGCGTCTCCATGTCACTTTGGGTCTGCCCCTCTTTTCCCTGGCACTAAATGACCATTATTGCGTTGATGTGTTTCTGTTTACTCAGACAAACAAACAAACAAATTAACAAACAAACTAACAAACATAGTTTTGTCAACGATAAACGTTTAAAAACAAAGTATAAAATGCAGTAGTTGTGTAGCTACCTGATGATTCCAACATGGTTGTCGGGATGAATATCATGGGGAATCCGCTTTCGACCTGTGTTGGAATAGGTTTCTTTTCCTTCGTACGGCTGTTAGTAAAGCTGATAGTGATACTTCCCTGTAAGTGGACTTTTATGGTGTTGAGATGTACGCACACGTGGTCTCCGTCGTCGTCTTTGCCTTCTTTCTTCACTGAAAACACTGGGCCGAATGATGTGCCGTGTAAATGGATCTAAAGGACGCCACTGCTTGGTCGTATAATGTACAGTTCTTTTCATCACCTCTGTTATTTTTTCTCTCGATCTTGCTTTTTTCCCAACGCTGTATGCTTTTTTTTTGGGGGGGGGGGGCGGGGGGGACTTTAGCATTTCTTTCTCAAACAATAGAGATGATACTCGATTGGTTTATATTATGTGAAAACGAACTTTTGCGTGTAGTAAGTCCCACCAGCAGAACACCGGGATACGCAGAAACCCATTTAGCTAGTGGACCTGCTTTGTGTTCATGGCGTTTTTTTCGTTCTTAGACGTACATAATTTGTTGTGCCTACTTTGTTGACTTTTCTCCCTTCTTTGCGAATAATCTCACGACGATATTGATAGAGGAGACAGGACATTTGACTTGGCCTCTGACCCCATGGTCTTAGTAACTAAAACGGCCAAATGTGTCAGATAGAACTTTGTAATTCTAAGATAACTTACTTTTGAGCGTGAGACCCCTGGTTTAGTTTGTCACTGACGTTACCCCAGATGTCACGCCAGGCCCTCTGCCTGACTCAGCCCTGTACAAACTGCTCCTCGCCCCTCTACCCCCCCTACCCCCCCCCCCCCCCCACTTCCACCCTTTTCAGGCGTCCGGGCTGGTTGTTTTTTCTGACGCCACTGTGGGGGAGGAGCATAGGTCAACAATCTACTTCAAAGGCGACGTTGTGGCGCTGGCTAATGATGTTGCAATGGGTACAAGTTATTCTTTATAATGTATATTTGTTACGTTGACTGTTTCCCCCCGCCCCCCAAAGAGCAAAACTATTTTATTCGCTTCCACATTGTGGTATACCCATTTTTGCACGCGTAACTTTTTTATTTTTAACATTTTTTAAAAACCCATTTCCCGGAAACCTATGTATTTATGCTCCCCTATATATATATTTATGATCACGTTTTTATCGAACGCTTGAGTATGCATGTGTTACTCGTCTAGCATCACACCTGCCCTATGTTTTGCATAACAGAAAAAAATACGTTATTTCCTGCCACACTGCTTTTTTTCAGTTGTTTTTCCATTTCTTATTAACATTATTATTGCACTACTAATGGTCTTTTTGTTGAACACCGGAGTGCCAGTTTGCTTGTGTTATTATTATTCTAACAGTATTGTTGCTACGAGAGGCACAAACAGCGCGTGTTAGCTTCAGTATCGTCTGACCTTTTTCTAGTGGGGGGGGGGTGAAAAAGTGTGGGCGGTTTTATATCTAAGCGTGTAGTTCTGTGGCGTATGATATTCTTTTGTTTAGTTCAGTCATGAGCAACCTCTGGCCCGCGAGCTGTTGCAGTCTCGCCCTCGAGTCTACTCAGTGATTAATAATGAATGTGGCCCTCGAGCAGTTGATTGTTAATTTAAAAAATAAGTAGGTCTTTACTTTTCCTGTATTGTTTCTGTCAGTCTGTGTGTCTGTCACCCCCCACCCCCCAGGGAAGTGCTACTGACTGAAAGTGTCTTAACTTTAAGGCATTTTCAAAGGGGGCATATTGACTTGTTCATATGCTCAGTAGAATTGCAGATGGGTTGATTTATCAATGTCATGCTTATATTGTGCCGGAACAACATAGGGGGAACTACTGCTTCTTTCCTCATCCTTACTATCGTCATTTTCCTCTACTTGTGTTGTGTTTATCATTCTCTTGTTAACTGCAATTTCCTGGGTGGCTTGATAGTCGAAACAGACTTTGTGCTGTTGAAGCTAGAGAGATGAGCAGAGTAAGCCTGATTCCCCATTTGGACTTCTCTGTCGACATTCCCCCCAGTGTGGTCATATGACCTTATACAGTTGCCAGTGCCGTAAAACCTTACGAAAACAACAACATTTCTGTCTGTCTTACTTTTCCCCAGCACTAAATGACCATTCTTGTTTCGATGTGCTTTTCTTTACTCAAACTGGCGAAGCGAAAGAATGTGTTCGTCGCCTATCAGCTTCGTGTTGTATTCGGATATTTTTTTGTCTTCCCTTGAAAGACGCAGGGGGGGGGGGGGGTGCATTGTGTATGGATGGTTGACGGAGGCTCTGATGTAGGTTGCTCCCTGTTGTCGTGTCTCTTCTTTCTGATGTGTGTATGTCACTTTCTTGTAACGCCTCTTATCTTGGGCATTGTACAATATAACGGCGTTGCAAATGCTGTAAATCCCGTTCTAAAGCAAACAAGAACTTTCATATCCTTTTCTTTGGTATGGACAATGGTTATTGGGTGGTCGGCGGGCGCTCTGATGTGGTTTGCTTCATCTGTACCGCCTCTATCCTCTGCCAGGCGCCACTGATAGGTCCTACTTTTTTTTCTTTCCCTCTGCTGTTTCTTTATATGTATCACCTTTTTCCAGCACTGAATATCCGTTATTTTGTCGATGTACTTCTTTTAACCTTTTAAACAACAACAACAACAACAACAACAACAACAACAACAACAACAACAACGACAACAACAAAAACAACAATAACAACAACAACAACAACAACACAAACAGAACTAAAGCAAAAGTATAAAAAACACGAAAAAGCAAACAGAATAAAACCAATAGAAACAAAACAAAACTGGATCTTTCCCCACGTTTCTTCTTTCTTCTTTAAACTACAAGTGCGGTGTGTGTGTGTGTGTGTGTGTGTGTGTGTGTGTGTGTGTGTGTGTGTGTGTGTGTGTGTGTGTGTGTG